TATCTACAAACAATACCAAAGGAAAATATATCGTTACTTCCAACGAATAATTATTTGACTGCAATGAACTGCAATAAATTGTATGCAACCTTTCTTTCGGAATTATGCCAATTTATTCGAGTTTATTCTTGCCAGATAATTATTCTTCGAATTAACGAAATCGGTTTCATCGGTCCAATGAATTTCACTCCTTGGTCTATGATCGCCCTTTTTTGTACCTTACGAGTTGAATTAAGTTCGAAGGTAACGAAGAGTGACATCGAGGGGTCGCAAAATGGAGGAAAAGTTTATAAATCGGAAGTGCAGCACATACGAATACGAGATGCTGTTTTTGGCGCAATTGAGGAGTGCCTACGAGAAACGCATAAACGGTAGAAAGAACACCATCTACTGCGAAAATAAGACCGGAACAACCAACTACAAAACGATTAACGGCGAGCCATGTAAATCGCTGAAAAAGGAGCGGCGAACGAGACGTACAAGAAGGCGCTTGAAAAGGCGGCTCAGCGTCACTCAGTTTCTACAAAAGACGCCGAAGATGAGAGAAAGAGAGCATAGAGACGCGAGCGACAATACGTAGTCTACGATCTAGCTAAATTGGCGATCTACGGAGGAAAAAGAGTAACGGTAGGTGAGACGGATCTAGCGTGAGGCGCGCAAGAGGTCCGCCATTTTGGTTTCCGGGGGGGCGGCCATTTTGGTATCCTAGGAGCCTTCATCTTAGTTCCCCTGATCTATATACTAACTAGATAGCTGATACCTACACTATTAAAAATATTCCTACAATTCATACACGTTTAGTGCATAAGATTGTAGTAAAATTATAAATTTCATGTCTCGAAGGTGGATTATCATACATTGATGATAAACTTCGAAATAAACTTGCAACTTCGTAACGTCATATTGGAAGGCTGAAATTTTGAAGAAAAAGGAGTACACTTATGTCTTTCGCGTCATTTTGACGCATGCGCAAATACTACGATATTAGTTGACGTGCCCATAATCAGAGGCCTCTGTGGTCGCTTCAAAACGCCATTTTGTAGGATATCAGCCACCCAGTTAGTATATAGATCAGTGGTTGGGGCCGCCATCTTGGCTTCCCAAGGGCCGCCGCTTAATTTCCTCGAGTTTCGAGTCTCTTCCTTTTGGTTTCGGCTCTCTTGGCATCGTCAGAATTTGGCAGAGTCGACATTAGTTCTAAAAATGGCGCGCCACGTATCGCCCCTGGAATCTGGGCCGAGAAGTCAACGTTTGAGAGGAGAAAGAAAATGGCGCGAGGCTTCTCGAAAAGTCCCCGGAAATCCGGGAAGGAGGAAACCGAGGACGGGAAAAAAGACGGCGAACTGGTCGCCTCTTTTCTATTTTTTTCTTTTTTTTTTTTCCGAATGAAATTAGCCAGCGAGTTCTACATCTCTACGACGATACAGAGCGAAAACGGCGCTAGCAGCGTTTCTTTTTAGCGTTCTCTACGAGATCGCTTCTACCGAGGGACGGAAAAGATTATTCCAGCGTTAGGCGAGATGGAGGGTGAAATTACACCCCAATAAACACAAAATCGTGGAATACACGTTGAGAAATGTGTACAACCGTCGACGGTAACCGTATAATCTGTATTAAACGAAAAAACATAAAACATTCCAATATCCGCCCTTTCTAACAAATTCAACGTCGATGTGACGTCCATTCCACGTCTATGAAACTGCCGTTTAAGTCAGGCAACATGAACGTCGTTTAAACGTGGATCGAACGTGAAATAATCGTTCATATACGTATACTATACGTTGAAATAACGTTGAAACGTTACGTTAAGGGCGCTCACCACTCCAGCGATTTTGCAGGGCCTCACGAGGACAACGATTCCGAACGTATTTCTAAACCGATCGAGCTTAACGAGTGCTCATATCGAAGATGAAACGTTGACCTGTGTTTATATGGGAGCGATTTTCGATAAGTGGTCATTATCATATAAAAAAGTGCAGCGACATAATTTCAATGCCCTTTTACCTAGGAAGGAGGTGCTCGATCGAAAATCGCTCCCATATAAACACACGTCAACATTTTATCTTTAAAACGAGCACTCGTTGAGCTCGATCGGTTGAGAAATACGCTCAAAATCGTTGTCCCCGTGGAGCACCTTTTTCAAGATTTTCAAGTTTCTCGCGCGGAATTTGGGCATTCCTTAGCAACCGTTGCCGACTCTAGGCGGAGCGTCCAACTTGCGTGTGCGTGCGGCCGAGGGTCACACACGTTTCGGCGCCTAGTCCAGAGGCGTCTAGCCGTTGTGTGAGTTGTATACGTGCAAAATACGCACACATTTTTCGCCCGTTGCTAAACACTGCCCATTATGCGTCGCGTCTCCCTCATCCGAGCGAGAAAGTACGTTTTGGTTACCTCCCACCGAATTCGATGCTAATGCCATCTAGCGGTGGAAGTCATCGTCCCCACTTGGTGGCGAACGCCGTTAAAGTCCACGTTTCTTCTCGACTAGGGATAAACGCGTAGGAAAGTTGACGCGTAAAATCGGCGTTTCTTGTAAATCTATAGTTAACGTCGAGGAAAGAACCGTGGGTGGATAAACGTTTAAGTTTTATGTCTGCCATCTTGTTTCGGATGGATTTACGGGTAGGAAACGTGAATTACACTATTTTGTGTTTTGGGGGACATCGCCTAATCGCATGCTCCTTCTTTCTCTTTCTCGTCGCAAAGCTCAGAAAGACCTCAAAGTCCTTCTTGGCGACTTCGTACTCGAGGTCGTACTTCTCCTCTTCGAGGCCGTTGATCCTCTTATGATACTGGTTCAGAATCGACTTCACGGACGCTGCCAAAATGCGGAAGACGTCAATTAAGGGCACTTCGAAGTCCTGCTTAACTCGGACTGGCCACTGTCAACTTGACATGGCATTGACATTCTTTGAATGATTAAAAGAGCCCCTTAATACAGACTTTTAAGGTGAAGTGAAACACGTCTATTAACTTGGTCGATAAAGAAGATTTTTCTAAATGCTTACGTTGCCGACGTTCGTTTTTATATTGACAGCTGGGTCAAATTATATTGGGTATTGTACCAAATGGCATATTCCACCTGTCGTTTTCGTACAATAATTATAAAGAAATCGAAGTAAAACTCCAGAAATCCTCTGGATTCATGCCTTCTGGGGCCCTAATTGACTGCAGAGGGACCCCCTGCGCCATCTGTGATTTCCAGGTCAATTAAATTTTCACTCCGAGACCTCGTATTACCATCGTTTTAGCATAGAAGTTATCCCGTTCAAATGCGAGTTTATCGATTACCAGAATGTTCTAAATTGTCGTAAAATTGTCCTGACCCTTTCGATTCTCATATCAGAGCCTTCGATAATTGTATACTGATCGAAATATGAGAGCTCGACGCCATTTTCGTTCTGGTCTGGACTGAGTTAAAAAATTCTTTCCAAAAATTCAAATTTTGAATGCGTCAGGACAATTCTTAGATGATCAGAAGTGATGTGTCAAAGTTTCGGACAGTTTGGTCTAATACCCTTAAAAAAAAGTGTATTCGAATCGACTGATTTGAAGGATGTTTCACTTCACCTTAAGTCGTTCAAAAAATGAGGATCCCATTCCTCCTCACTCTGTTTTGAATTTTCTCCTAATTGTTTTTCATTCCCACCCGAATCACACACTGGGAGAAAAAGAAAGAAGAGTTGGTTGACTCAAAGAACTACCTATTTCTTCAAAAAAAAAAAAATACTTCGAAAGAAATGTCTGTGAGAGTGAACAACATTCGTTTATAACAATGTAATTTCTCTCCTCGACGAAATAATTGTTTTTTTATAATGATGTATGACTCAGCCAACGATATATGTTTGTCCCTGTCAATTAAACTTCTTTCTCAGGGTAGCAAAAATTTTCTCCACCTCGGAAAGGACACTTTCTACCCTTTTTCATGTGTTTTGTTTTTATTCTTGGGGAATTATTAAATATATATATATATATTAATTGAATGCAACCAGTCCGAGTGAAGCACGTTGATTCCCTGCCTAGAATGGAAAGCGGTAATTTGTCGGGCATTAAATTGGACGTAGCTTAAAATCCCTACGAGTAATTACGAGGAGGTAACGAGTAAACGGCGCAAAAAGGGAAACCTCGAAATACCTGTGTTTGTTAGATCCTCGTCCTTGTCTTAGGTTCCCAAAATGAAATAAAATCGGTGGACGAGATGCGGCCTCGACTTCGGAAAGTCAAAAGTAACATGGCGGACGTAAAGTTTAAGTTAAGAGAGATAACGCGAAACCTGCTTTATCGACAAAAATGACGCCACTGAAAATCGAAGGAAAAGATACATATACCTCAATATAACGTAACTTATTCTCTGCTCTCACGAAATTCTGCGACGGACACTTCACAGGAAAGCTGAGCATAGAGTAAAGAGGAGAAACAAAGATACGAAAATGTGTCTCAGGCTAATAAACACAAAATGGTGGAATACACGTTGAGTAATGGTGTAAAAACTATAGTGTGCAAAAAAAACACTTGTTTCACCCGTTCCAATAAATTCAACGTCGATATAACGTCTATTTCACGTTTAGTAAGCTATCGTTATTCAGTCGGGTGATATGAACGTCGGTTAAACGTTTGCTATACGTTGAAATAACGTTAAAACTTTACGTTAGAGTTCACGTTACTTCTCGAGTAGGGATAAAAGCGTTGAAAAGTTGACGCGTTAAATCAATGTTTCTTGTAAATGTATAATATATTTCTAAAGTGGAGGAGATAACCGTGGGTGGATATGCGTTTAATTTTGACATCTACCATCTTCTCTCCGCTTGATTGACCTGTGTAAAACGTGAATTCCACTATTTTGTGCCTTTTGGGCCGTGTTAGCACGTTTAAAGTGCGAAGCTGGTGTTTAGAGTCCTTTTAGAAATCCATGACTGCGCATCAAGGAACAAAAATTGAGCTTGCTTTTCGAGAGTACTCTCGCAATGTGTGTCTGCCTCTCGACGGCATCAAATGTGTACCTCGTAGTCTTTCTTCTTAACGATATACTCAATATCGAATTTCTGATCCTCCAAAGTACCAATCCTAGTGTGGTATTCGCGCAGCACTCGTTTCACGGTCTCTAAATGTTCACCAGAAGAAAGTTTTCGAGGTTTTAGTGCATTTCCCGATTTTTCGGGAATATTTCGTCTCTCGTTAAGTCGTTTAACGTGTCACAATGTCCGAATTCATTTTTTTTTCTCTCTTTTCCGTTTCGTCGCGTTGAAAATCCGTCGTCGGGGCTGGATTTAATTTCTGGATTTCCGAAGTTTTTACAAACCTATCTCGCCTATTCTACCGTGACAGAAAAATTCCATCGAGCCGAAGAAATATCTCTTTGTACGGCACCGAAGATATATTTTCATTATTCAAAGAGTAATTATTTGACTGAAAATCAAATGAATTGAATGCAACGATGACTATTTATTTCGGTTCATTTGAGTGAAATTCTTTGATTTTACAAAATATTCCTTTGGTACTATTCGAAGAAATATTTCTTTGATTTTCATTGCACCTTTTTTTTTTTCTCTCTCAGGGTATGTATGAAAATCCGAGAAGGCGAAAATGGCTGCACAAGTTCCACTTGAATTTTCAAACTATCCTCTGATTTATTGTAACGAGAATTCTCAATGAAAGAACTAACGAAGGTAAATGCGGATCGATTTATCGAATAAGAGATCACGAGTTAATAGAAAATGAGGACTCGAAAGATAGAGATGGACGAATTCGTTGGCACTTTCGACTTGCAAGTCAAAATTCAAAGATAGCACTTTGTCCTCGACGAAGAAGATACTTCCCACGATAACCTTATTCTCTGATATCGCGATAAAAAAATGAACCTCTTAACAACAACACCCTCAAAATAAAATGTCCGGTACTGCCGAATTGCTCCCTAAATTCGTGGAGAGATTTTCGAAGGCTCAAAAAATGACATTCCGCAAGAAAACAAACCACGTATTAATTAATGTATTCCCCGGCACCATTAATCGCTTCTTTAATTAAACCGTGGAAAAAAAAATGTGCAAAACATATTCCCTGTAAGTAAAATTTGTCCTCGATTTTGCAATAAACAACCCAATTCCTAGACAGAGACGCTAAGGCTGCTTTAAGGGGTTCTGAAAATCCAACATGGCGGAAAGTCAAAATGAAGATTCCTTGAGAAATTGTCGAAGATGTCGAGGTCGACGAAGATGCCGAAAAGAATTTCCGAGATCATTCCAAGAGATTTGGGAATTCGAAGGATGTGGAAGAAATCCTCAGCATCCTCCACGCGAGGCCTAGAAAAAGGGAGATCTTCGGACCCGAAAGAAATAAAGAAACGGGTTGACAATTAGGAGATGAGGGAAGAAACGGATTGACGAAGAGAGAAGAAGTGCCTTTGGTGTGATCGGCACGTCTAAAGTGCGTTGAAATGCATGTTTTCCGTTGGTTCCACGCCAAACGGAAAGGCTGATCTCGAAGATTCGACGAGAGTCACTCTCGAGTACTCGGAAAGTGTACCTCGTATTCCTTCTTCTTAACGCTATACTCAATGTCGAATTTCTGATCCTCCAAAGCCCCGATCCTATCGTGGTAGTCGCGCAGGACCCGTTTCACGGTATCTACACACGACCACGAGAAGACATTTATCCAGGATTAAGATGATATGAAAGGCGGCGAGAAATTAAATCGAGGTCGATAAATTCAAATTCATGTATACCCTTTTCGGTGGAAACGTCATTTTGAATACCGAAGTGGCAACATAAGCGTCCCGTTACCGACATTTATATTTATGTCGAAGTCTTTTACAGTCCACGTTGATAATTATACCAACTGAAGGGTTCCATATGAGCCGCTCAGTGCACACATTGATTAACTCCATAAAACAAAAAGTTGAGAAATGCGATGAAGTAATGTAGATTCTTTTTTAAAATTCCTATTGTAATATAACTTCAAATATATAATGTAGAATACATAAATACAGTTATAGTTTTCATCTAACGGTATATAAAATTAATAAGAAAGAATAGCCAAAAAATAATCGTCTGCATTTTATATCGACAAATGTTTTTGCAGGTATTACATTTCCTCCCCTATTCCTGTATGCCAAACCTTTTGTTCCGTTATGCTTTTGTAAATTTCGTGCCCATTTATCAGGATTACGACTTCTTTTCCTCCCAATCGATGGGTTTGTTGGGGAATTTGTACCGTTGCAATCGGATGAATTCGAGAAACACGATAAACGTCTTCTTGCCCCAGACTTTCTGCTGATAAATCGTATTGAAGAATCATCACTGCTTTCCACATCCACATTGTTATTAGTTTCACTCATCTTGATTATATCGGTATAATATTTAGTTCTTTAAAAACAATCAGGGAGTAATGTTGAAAAGACCAAAAAATATGTAGTCCGTGTAATATTGGTGAAGTATACGGTAACATTCAGCGTGAGAGATCACCGTTATACTAACTACCGTCTGCATTGCGCTTCTTTCTATCTGTTTGCTGATGCGATTTTATTACTCATATTGTTGAAAGGGGGAAAGCATCTTCGGCTGTTAAAAAAAAAAAGCGTCGATGTACGGCCGCAACAGATAATCCAATAATACTATACTGCCAGGTATTCGTCTACGATTTACATTAGAGTATGGAGTTAATCAAAATGTCTTCTGAAATAAATTACTTATTATTGAATGCCGAAAAAAATGTTGCCATTTAATGGTGTTAATCTCTATTAATCAGGAAAGATATTATAAATATAAAAAGTTATGACTATACCAAGTGCTTTGACAGCTAAATTTAAGATTTTTCAAAAAGTGGAGTTAGTCGATGTGTGCACTGAGCGGCTCATATGTCATTTCGATAAAGTAACGACGAAGAGATCGACGTAAAACTGTCGAAATCCCGTGAATTCATTATTCCAACGACTGTTTAGGACCAACGTCGCCATCTGTGAGGTTTAGCTGCTACTAAATTTTTCCTCTAAATACCCGCGTCAGCCCCGAGACAAGCCAGCATTCTCTTGCAATCGTTGGTGAAAGTATTTTCCATATTTTCATCAATCTGACTCTGTAATATTCCATTTCTACGGTATTCTAAATTGTTCGAGCTAGGTCCTGAAACTCTTGATTTTAGATTCTAAGCCTCCAAGAAGCGGAAAACATCGAAAACGTGCACCGACCACGCCATGTTGGTTCCAGTCCATGATAAGTAAATATTCGATGAAAAATTAAATTTCTTTATTTTCAGGACCTACTTTAGGGCCTCCATATTCCCCTGGTAAAATTAGAAACAAATCGGTTCACCCAATTCGGAGAATATTTTCCCCAACGATTTCATTTCTCAGATATTGGTTGACTCTTTCATATCACCTTAAGTGCGTCCCTTTCGAGTCTCGAAGACATCGACGAGTGTCCGAGTAATGTATATTGTCAGTGTCAAGAGTCGTCAAGTATCGGTTCAAGTTCGTCGTCAGCTCGACTTGTTGTACTTGTTGGTGTAATTCGTGTGAATGATCGCGTCTCCATCGTACTCCTAAATCCGGGATTTATCCAGATCGGAATTGAACTGTCGATCGAGGCACTCAGGATCGAATATGCGCATTTATTAAGGTGAAGTGAAACACATCGATTAACTTGATCAACGTCGATAAAGAAGATTTTTCTAAATGCCTACGTTGCCGACGTTCGTTTTTATATCGACAGCTATACCGAATTATATTGGGTATTGTACCAAATGGCATACTCCGCCTGTCGTTTTCGTACAATGATATCAAGAAATCGAAGTAAAACTCTAGAAATCCTCTGAATTCATGCTTTCTGGGGCCCTAATTGACTGCAGAGGGACCCCCTGCGCCATCTGTGATTTCCAGGTCAATTAAATTTTCACTCCGAGACCTCGTATTACCATCGTTTTGGCATAGAAGCGTATACAATACTTTTTTTGCCCTTATCCCGTTCAAATGTGAGTTTATCGATTATCAAAGTGTTCTAAATTGTCGTAAAATTGTCCTGACCCTTTCGATTCTCATATCAGAGCCTTCGATAATTATATACTGATCGAAATATGAGAGATCGACGCCATTTTGGTTCTGGTCTGGGCTGAGTTAAAAAATTCTTTTGAAAAATCCAAATTTTCAATGTGTCAGGACAATTCTTAGATGATCAGGAGTGATGTGTCGAAGTTTCGGACAGTTTGGTCTAATACCCTTAAAAAAAAAGTGTTGTATTCGAATCGACTGATTTGAAGGATGTTTCACTTCACCTTATGCGATTTACTGGATCCGGACTTGATAAATCCCGGATTTAGGAGTACCATGGAGACGTAGTCTGTGTCTGGTAATGAGTACCGAGACTCGGGGGAAATCGATTAGCGATCGACAGATGATTGGAAATTCGAATCGAGGGAAATTCCCTCAAATTGGAGACGAATGAAAATTATTTGATGAACTGGACAGTATCTTGGTGTTTTACGCGTAACGATAAATCGCTGCGATTAATTTGTGCAAATAAATTTATGCAAATTTTATGGACGGCACGGATAACAAATCGCTACGATTCATCGTTACAAATGTGGCCATTTTTAGCCTTAGCCTGGACCTGAGCCTCGCTCTGTAAATAAATGCCAATAATCGATAACCGATACGTTATTGCTCTTAGAAAAAAAATCAAGTATCTCCCCTTCCCATCATTAAATTCTAAAATCGAATGCTGCGAATAATTTTGACAAATTCCCTTGAAAAACATGTCGCTTTATAAATGTTCATTAAATAAATCATTGGTAGTTAAATTAATTTTATATAGCACTTCGTTACGAGCGAGGCTTCGACTTGAAATGAAACTCCTGTCCATTTGGCTTCCATGAATAAATAATAAAAGTATAAAAAAAGCGATTCGAAAATTTCTTGCGTTTCTTGAGCTCATTTCACGACCAGGTCCGTTTGGCTTCCTTAAATAAATAAAAAATGAAAAATAAAAGAAAAATTGTTTACTTCGACTGTTCTAACGCTTCTCCAGAGAGCTTTTCAGCACTTCCTCGGAACTGACTTCGTAAAATTAATCCGCATTCTGCAAAAATCCAGGTCCCTGGCCCATTTCTCAGATTCACCTGACGACGTCCATTGCGATGATTTCTTCACCGTAAATCAATTGGAAACTCGGCGAGCTCGAAATAATAATATCTTTAAATAAAATCATTGCAAGAGCTATCGCATCGACTGCGTAGTTGACGTTTTATAAATTGTTTTATACATAGCGCCCTGGGTGCCCTCGCACCTTACTAAAGATATTTAATGACGAAAGTGCGACGAGTCATCGATATAGAAAAAGAAAGAACAATGCACAGTCGTTTGAGTCGCCTTTAAAAATAATCGTAACGCAGGTGAATCTTCGAAATGGACCCGACTCGATTTAAAAATCCGATTTTCAGCGGGAAAAATACCTTCATTCGCGTCATCGACGTTCTTTGGCTTTCCACAACGTTCCTCGATGATGCGCCTTCTCTCGGCAGCTTTTCTCTCCTGTTCCTTCTTCAGCTCCTCCGCGGCTTTTTTACGCAGCAGCAACTGTGAAATCCTGAATTAGCAGACATTCTACGGAAAATTTATCCCTCCACCCGCAGAAAAATGATTTAGTCGAATCAAGATAATTTTTCTTAGTTCAATCATGAAAATCCCGAATTAGCAGACATTCTACGGAAAATTCATCCCTCCACCCGCAGAAAAATGATTTAGTCGAATCAAGATAATTTTTCTTAGTTCAATCACGAAAATTCCGAATTAGCAGACATTCGACGAAAAATTCATCCCTCCACCCGCAGAAAATTGATTTAATCGAATCAGGATAATTTTTCTTAGTTCAGCCATGAAATATGGAAACCCGAATGTTTCGTCGACGTGACTAAGTTCTTTGATTGATAACGTTCGGTTAATCGCGTCAACTGATAAAGTGATTCGAATATTTCAGAAAAACATTATGCGATTCTCTAACGAAATACCGGGAATTTTGTTGACTAAAATATTTCATAAATTAATGAAACGATTTAACCGACAAAATTCAGTCGATCGAAACGAACGAGTGAACTAAAATTAACCAAATACGGTCCATTGTATGATTTTGATAAATGAACCAAATTTTTTTTCTGCGTGCAGATGAAAATAAAAATGATAATGAACATACCCTGAGTTTCTTCTTCCTGTCAGGGGTCATGAAACCCTTCTTCGCCTTTTTAGCCTTGGAGGCCTCTTCAAGGCGGGCGCGGACTTCCGCCCTTTTCCTGTCGGTCTCCGCCTGTTTCCTCTTCTTTTCCTAAAGATCCAGTGTAAATGGTGTAAATAGTGTGTAAAAATATCCCTGAATGTCGATATCGAAACCAGGGAAATAAATGAAATCCAATAAAGGGGCTCTTCAGGGCAACCTAAATCAGAGACTCTTCGAGTCCACCTAAATCGTTGAAATTTGACTTTTTACCTTCGAAGCTAGGAAAACCTTTTTACTGTTAAACAAAATTCTTTTTAAGCTCTTCTTGGTCATCTGAATCATCTAAGTTTTGCTAGTTAATTTTGGAACTATAGAAAAGACTTTTACTGGACAAACTAAAAAGAATTCTCGTAAAGGAGCTCTTCAAGTCTAACCAAATCATCTGAAGACTGTTTAATTTGAGCTACGAAATCGTGTCTACCATCGAATTGATACTGCCGATTAAAACAAAATGATTATTTCTAGCCCCTAATTTTTGTTAATGATTTTTCTGTCATGTTGCTGAAGATTTCGATGAAGAGTCGTCAGGGAAAATGTGACTTCCGGGTCTCCCTACAACTTTGTACCAGCTCATACGTACATCCTCGAGGCGCTTCCTCTGTAAAAAGAATTAAAAAATCCCGATTAGCGTCTAATAAAATTCGTTTCGATCGAAAGAAACTCGAAACATGGCGTGTAAATTTTGGAAATCATTGGACATGTCGATAGCATTCTGTGTTTCGAGTTTCTCTTCGCTGCGAAGCGTTCAACACATTTCAGGCCGGAAGACAAATCGTTTGCCAATATTATGAGATATTTCCAAGCGTAAAATAAAAAAATCCCCCAAAGCGACGAATTTTCATAACTTATATTAAAACATTATAATCGGTTTCCGGAGGCTGGTATCAACCTCCAAAAAATTCACACTCACTTAAGCGAGACCAAAACCGCGAAAATTAAATATATATGTAAAAAGAAAAATTGAGAAGTCACTTAACCCTTCATCTGGTATTTTATTTTATGTCATTACAGTCAGTGTTGATTTCTTTTTTTATAATCTTCTACATGATCCAAATTTTTCGAAAAAAAATGCAACCATACAGTGAAGGGTTAAGGCAACGTTTATATTTATATTTGAAAGTATTGCAATGCATGCACCCGGGACAAATAATTCGAATGCAAATTATGGACGGATTAGTGACTTGGTGCCATGCGAAGAATGTTAATTAACAAATAAAATTGTGGACGGCACATTTAACACCCAGGTCTGCTTCCGGTGTTTACTTTACCGATCGTGCTCGCATTGTTCTTTTCTTTTTTTCACACGAGCACTAATTGTTGTAAGTGACTGTAAGGTTCACACATTTACTGACGTTTTCTGAGTCTTTGATGCAAATCGGGACTGTGCAATTGCAGCCCTATTGGGGACCATTTGTTTGCAAGAGAGAGGGAGTTAATTATTAATCATGACTATTTTTATAAATAAATGTACACCCAAAATGAACAAATTAAGTTATGAAATTCCCTCTCTCTCGCAACAATGGATAACGTGACTGGAAATAATAGAAGAAAGAGTTATGATTATGACGTAATATGTGTTTGTGTTGTAATTTCGCAAGAACTAAATCGACAATGTTTTGGAGAATTTACACGTCAAATATGGCAATGACAATAATTTCGAAGTAAAAAGAAAAATAGAATGAGAACTTACGGTGTTATATTTTCCTACACTGAGAAAAGGAATGTCATCGAACCAAAGAATTATTTCGTTCACTCAAAGAATTCGACTCAAATAAATCGAAATAAATTATCATAATTCCGAAGATACGTTGCATTTAATTTATCCGAGTTTCTTTGAGTCAAATATAATCATTCTTTGAATTGATAAAATATTTCTTTGTTTCAGTGGCATTTTTTCTCTCTGGATAAAGAAGAATGTTATTCGAAAAAAAATAAATGCAGAGTCGAAAAGTGGATATTACTTCTAAACTGAGTTTTTCTTACATTTCTCCGTGAAGTCAACTTGTCAATCCAACATGATTAAAAAATGTATCGGAGGGTAATGAAAAGTGTAATTAAAGATCGATTGTCAGTTTTCGAGAATGTGAGACACAGAGTCGGAAATGAACAGGTAGAATAGAAGTTGCAGAAAGTGGGTAAATGCAAAAGTTCACTCCTTGATGTTCATGTACATTTTGGAAGTGAGTGAGACAAGACTAATCGAAACGAGGAAAAAAAACATGGACGCCAGACCGATGTCAATCTCAGGGCATCGGTTGACAATTTGGTCAAATTTCGAGCCCCTTTTACGAGACTAATCGACGAGACCGAAATATGGAAACTGAATGTTCATTTTTTAGAATAATTTCCATTGAAACTTTTCCGGAATTCGATCTACCGGGGCCTTGAATTTCTGATTTCGACGTCTCGACGAAAGGGCGCGAAATTCAAACGGTTCCGCCATGTCCTGATCGCGGTCGGACGGATGCTAATTCTAAACGTAATTCCATAATTAGAAAAAAAAATCCACACGTAGCCAGAAACCATGCTCACCTTTCACTTGATCGGATACTGCATCGTCCATTCAAGAAATTCAGTCCGAGCAAAGATGGCGGCCGATTTGGAATCGACGCAACGCGAATTCCCAGGAAATTCATGGAAGGAGAAGAGAAAATCGTATTAACGCAATTCGAAATACCTTTCTCAAAACTGTAAAATCCAACCACCTTCGTCGAAGTCCGATCTTTACGTACCTAACCTCATCGTCGGCCATCTTGGGATCGGGTTTCTAGGAGCGTCTACCTGAAAAGAAAAGAAGCAGCTCGTAACGCGTTCGCCGTATCCGCCGCCATTTTGTTTCCCAGCCACCGCGTCGCTTTTCCCCCGAAATTCCTCGATTTTCAAAGAAATCTTAATCTTATTCCACAAGTCTTCACCTAATTACCCTGAATTTAATTGGCAAATCCCTTTTTCACTCGGGAATTACTAATATTTCTTGTTCCAGTTTATTTACGGATAGATTTCGGAGGAGCTCGATTCAATATGGCGGATGCGTCGTTTTGTCTCCTTCGCCGAAGATCAGAACATGATCGGGGAAACTCGAAACTCGATACTCGGCGAGCTGCGGGAAAAAGCATAAATCGAAAGCCTCGTGAACACTACTTCGCTCTCTCGGTGTAAAGTATCCAGAGTTCGAAAATAGACGCCATCATCCCCACCATCTTGCGTCGGCGAGATCCGCGGTCCAAATTTGGTCGCCACGACCGACCGTGTATCTTTGCATAAGGTGTTTTTTCAAATATTATCTGCCGAATACACTATAAACGTTTTGATAAGTATTTAAAACCAAAATCACAGGTTTTGCTCCCATAAGGAAATACCGAAACGAAAATATTGGAAATATTAGACGTGTTTCTTGATACCGAAAGTCGGATTCCAGGAGTGGTCGAAAGAAGCGCAAAGCGAGTTCAAAATGGCCGCTTTTGGGTTAGTAATAAATATTTCCTGGAGATATAAAGATGCCCTTTAATCGCGGATGCTAATCACTGAATTCCCATTAATAGAGGAAAGTCAGATTCAGAGAGTGGTAGAAAGAAGCGCAAAGCGATTTCAAAATGGCCGCTTTTGGGTTAATAATAAATATTTCCTGGAGATAAAAAGATGCCCTTTAATCGCGGATGCTAATCACTGAATTCCCATTAATAGAGGAAAGTCAGATTCAGAGAGTGGTAGAAAGAAGCGCAAAGCGATTTCAAAATGGCCGCTTTTGGGTTAATAATAAATATTTCCTGGAGATAAAAAGATGCCCTTTAATCGCGGCTGCTAATCACTGAATTCCCATTAATAGAGGAAAGTCGGATTCAAAGAGTGGTCGAAAGAAGCGCAAACCGATTTCAAAATGGCCGCTTTTGGGTTGATAATAAATATTTCCTGGAGATAAAAAGATGCCCTTTAATCGCGGCTGTTAATCACTGAATTCCCATTAATAGAGGAAAGTCGGATTGCGGGAGTGGTCGAAAGAAGCGCAAAGCGATTTCAAAATGGCCGCTTTTACGTGGGTCCACTTATGCCAGAAATTGCAGTAAAGCGAGGGGCAAATGCGATTAATGTCGGCCCCGTCATAATTCCGAAGTCAGCTCGAGTTACAACGATTACTCGGAGCCATTTCGTAAAAGCATTTCCAAGTTCGGGGGAGCCACAGTAAGGTGGAACTTTTAACTACGCCATTTGCAACTTCGGAGTAACCTTAAAGCGCCCGACTCGAGAAAAGAGATCGAAACTCGAATTCCTCCCGAAAGGACGATCACTGAAATCCATCGACGATCCTTTGAGCGACTCCGGTCACTTAGAGAAGGAAAAAGGAAAAAGAAAGCAAAACTCCCCGGAAATAAATGAAATATTAAGCACGTCGCATATCTCTGGTTACGCCAAAGAGAGGTACAGTGGCGGACATAAATGCCTTTTCCTCCACTCATGGCAAAATATTTTTACACCTGTATTTCTCCCTCTATCTGCACACACGTCTCGAGTACCTTTCAAGTACTTTTAATATCAGATGGAAACTTTATTCTAAAATCGAGGGCATTGAATCGTTTGCGATTTCAAAACGTGAATGTGGAGGCTATAAGGAAGGTCCCGCCCCCCGTGAAATTTCAATCTTTATAAACATTGTTTCCAAGCATTTTCAACAATTTCAACACACCACTGACGTCACTTTCGTATCGCCTTAACTTCCGAGAGAAAGTCTCCAAATGACGTTCATAATTTTTTAATTTAATAAATAGTCTTCAAATATTAAAAAAAAAAATTGAAGGCCTGAGAAAAATATTTCCTGTTTACTTTCAAGCAACTTTTGAACTACTTTCAAGAAGGGCTCAAGATCTAAATATTCCGTCGTGAGTCCGTGATAAGGACGTCATGAAACGTCACAAGGCGTCGTGGTCCAGGGGGGTCAGGAGATTCCTCCGGTTGCGCAAGCGAGCACATAAACAATGCCCCTGTGTACCGTCCGGATGTAAAGTATGCAGGCTTTTATATTTATAACGAGTGATCGTCTTTTCTAAGTTTAGCCAGCGCGATGCCTCGTCCCGAGCCATTCCAAGCTGTCCCGCTCAGAAGACGCTCGACGTCTCCGGTGTCAAAGGAAATCCTCTCCACCGTAAAAATAGAAGATAGCACCGTCGAATCGAATCGACTGATGACCTTTTGCCGAATCGGCCTCTTGGATTGACATTGTTACCTTATAGATAATACAGCCGATCCCAGAGGGAAGCCAGAAAATAATAAAAAGGGAATATCGAAGATGATGACCATCCAAAGATGGCGGCGAACTGAATCCGTTTCCCTGATGAAAGAAACGAATACGGTATCTGCTTCACAAATATTCCCTGCATTAAATGAAGATTTTCAGATGGACCTATATAGAGAAGGTTCCATTTGATGGATTTTTAAACTCTGGATATCAATTTTTAACCATGATAAGGAGACCAGATGAAGTGCCGCTGGTGGTGGGAGGGTACCGATGGTCTGAATTTGAGGGAGAATTTAAATTCCGTTCAACTGGTGGTTTAGAAGATTTAATTAAAACATGAAACGGGAGCATGAATCTATAGGCAATTGATTTTCACGGAATTACAGGGTCTGATTATGAATTTTTATCTCTGGAGAGCAGACTAGTTCTAGATGGGACTCTGGAGGTGGAGGACCCATGTTCTAAATTTCAAGGTGAATTAATATTCCCTGTAACTAGCAGTTCAGCAGGTGTAATGAAGGATAAAACGGGATCATGTTCTGATAGACGTTCGATTTTTATGAACCTCCAAGCCCTGTTTATGAATTTTTATCTTCGGCGAAGGGTCTCACACTTGGAGCAAGACCCTGCTTGAAGTGATAGGGAACCCGCGTTCTGAATTTTAAGGTGAATTTAAATTCCCTTCAGGTAATACTTTATAAGGTCTAACGAACGTAGTATCAAGATATTATTAATAGATAATACCTTGAAAGAAACATTTGCATCAGTAATTGGATCAAATTGCACGGCACCGTTTGGTGTCTGTGGCCCATTGGGAATGAGACCGCATCGAGCTCCAAATGATCGAGATCGATATCGATTCCAAGTCCAAGCCCCGAAGATCGAAAGTCTTCTGAACCCCGAAGAACGAAAAAGGGGCCATCGATTAGATAACTCGAGAAGGTCCCGAGATGTAAGAAGGAGCTTCGAAAATTAGTGGCCGGGTATGCTGGAAAGCGTCGATGGAGATCAGCCACAAATCTTCAGATTTATCGTGGCAAAAGATCTCCAAAGTCGACTTTGTTCCTCCGATCCCGATTAAGGGGATGTGAAAGTGGCATCCGAGAAATCAATCGCTCGTGAAACTTTTCTCCGAACCAGATGAACCGAATCGTTTCAAACTTTACAACGTAAATACTGAGACTATAAAGAAAGTCCTGACACCCATGAAATTTTAAAAAATTTCTTCATGTCCTCAAAATTATATATAAAAAGAATGAAATTTCATGGGTGCCAAGACCTTCCTTGTAGCCTCCGTGTTCACGTTGTAAAGTTTGAAACGATTCGGTACACCCACTTCGGAGGAGTTTCAAAAAGGAGACCTCTCTGACGCCACTTTAACATCACCTTAAAGATCGGCATCCAGGAAGGAAGATACTCCTTGAAGGGACCAAAAAGAGGACCCAAGGAACCCAAGAAGTGGTCTCCAAACCCCACTTCCGAAGACCCTGAAGCCATTCAGGATGCATCTTGGTCCCCCACGTATCAAAAACGATATTCGCAACGATTCCGCATCGATTATTCAGCGATTTTGCATCGACTTCCATCGATTTTTCAGGGATTCCCCGCTTGGAAACAATAGTTCCTCTTCACATCCCACCACTCGGGCCCTGAACACCATCTCGAGTCCATCCGATGTTCATCTTCGCTCTTCGTAGACGTCCAGGATAATCCAAAGCTGAGAGTACCACGCACTGACACTGGGGAACCGGAAGCTACCAGAAGTACCGGAACCGCCGGCAAAAATCGAGAAAGAAGGGGGAAGTTTACCGAAGATGGTGCCGATATCCACTTCCGTCCACTTGGTCCCCACCATTGAGTATAAAACCGCCAAAGAGGGCGCAAGTACGATTTTCCTCAATCCACGGATTCGGACCCAATCTCTCTTTCGTTCATCGCTCATCCGTTTCCCCGTCTTTGTCGGCCCTGGCTCCCTCGCGAACGCCCTTCGGCCTCTTTGGTTTTACCAATCTCGAGGGAATACGGTGGCCCAGTTTTGGCGAAACTGGGCGATGACTTACCTGAGAAGAACGAGCGTCTAGCGTGACTAGTCAACCGGACCTTCAGCAGCTGACTGTGCCGCCGCAAAGCCGCCCTCGTCCTCCTCGGCCTGGCCCTCGATGGCGTCTTCTTTCGGCCCCACGTGACCACCAGCGGATGCTGGGGTTGGCTGGACCATTTTTAGACCAGCGGAGCTGCAGAGGCCGAAAATAAACCGCGAAACTGAAAGCGGAGCCGGGCCGAGAGCGGAACCTTTTCCTAGGTTCCTCTCGGGCGCAGCGAGCGAGGTCTCTGAAATAGAAAGAATCGAGGGAACCGACATCACGAATCCCCGTTTCCTGCACGCAGGAGCGAAATGTGCTTCGTTTAACGCTAGAACTACCGGCGGATTTTTTTTTTTTTTTACAGGATGGGCCATTTGAAACCAGTCATTTTTACTGGTCTTGGTAGTTCTAGCGTTAAGAAAATCGTCTGATAGATTATAAAGAAAAAAAAAATGGTTCTTTCTTCGAGAAATTTACATTTCACGAGCTTTGTTAGAGCGGAACCTTTTCTTAGGTTCCTCTCGGGCGCAGCGAGCGAGGTCTCTGAAATAAAAAGAATCGAGGGAACCGACATCACGAATCCCCGTTTCCTGCACGCAGGAGCGAAATGTGCTTCGTTTAACGCTAGAACTACCGGCGGATTTTTTTTTTTTTTTACAGGATGGGCCATTTGAAACCAGTCATTTTTACTGGTCTTGGTAGTTCTAGTGTTAAGAAAATCGTCTGATAGATTATAAAGAAAAAAAAAATGGTTCTTTCTTCGAGAAATTTACATTTCACGAGCTTTGTTAGGGCCTCCATAATCACGTGTTAAAGTTTTAGATAATTTGGTCCACCCATTTTGGAGAACAGTTCTATTAATATTTTGAATTCTTCATATATTTATAGAATAACACTTTCGTATCACCTTAACGGCGTTCGCCACCAAGTGGGGACGATAACTTCCACCGCTAGATGGCATTAGCATCGAATTCGGTGGGAGGTAATCAAAACGTACTTTCTCGCTCGGATGAGGGAGACGCGACGCATAATGGGCAGTGTTTAGCAACGGGCGAAAAATGTGTGTGTATTTTGCACGTATACAACTCACACAACGGCTAGACGCCTCTGGACTAGGCGCCGAAACGTGTGTGACCCTCGGCCGCACGCACACGCAAGTTGGACGCTCCGCCTAGAGTCGGCAACGGTTGCTAAGGAATGCCCAAATTCCGCGCGAGAAACTTGAAAATCCTGAAAAAGGTGCTCCACGGGGACAACGATTTTGAGCGTATTTCTCAACCGATCGAGCTCAACGAGTGCTCGTTTTAAAGATAAAATGTTGACGTGTGTTTATATGGGAGCGATTTTCGATCGAGCACCTCCTTCCTAGGTAAAAGGGCATTGAAATTATGCCGTTGCATTTTTTTATATGATAATGACCACTTATCGAAAATCGCTCCCATATAAACACAGGTCAACGTTTCATCTTCGATATGAGCACTCGATAAGCTCGATCGGTTTAGAAATACGTTCGGAATCGTTGTCCCCGTGAGGCCCTGCAAAATCGCTGGAGTGGTGAGCGCCCTTAAGAAGTCTCGTCCATGACTCTTTTCACTGAACTGGGTGTACCGAATCGTTTCAAACTTTACGACGCGAGGATGGAGGCTACAAGGTCCTGTTATCCGTGAAATTTCAATTCTTAAAAATTCCTTTACAGATATTTTTTAAATTATTAAAAGAAATAAAAAAAAATGAAATTTCACGCGTATCGGGACCTTTCTTATAACCTTCAAATTCACATTGTAATGTTTGACCTGATTCTGTACACCCAACTCGGAGAAAAGCTTCATGAACGATTGACCCTTCAGGTTCCACTTTCACATCCCCTTAAAAAGATTTCATTCGCTCCAAAAATGACGTTTGGATCTCGAAACGCATCCAGCAGACCTGATCTCCCTTTAAGGTGAAGTGAAACACGTCGATTAACTTGATCAACGTCGATAAAGAAGATTTTTCTAAATGCCTACGTTGCCGACGATCGTTTTTATATTGACAGCTGGGTCGAATTATATTGGGTATTGTACCAAATGGCATATTCCACCTGTCGTTTCCGTACAATAATTATAAAGAAATCGAAGTAAAACTCCAGAAATCCTCTGGATTCGTGCCTTCTGGGGCCCTAATTGACTGCGGAGGAACCCCCTGCGCCATCTGTGATTTCCAGGGCAATTAAATTTTCACTCCGAGACCTCGTATTCCCATCGTTTTAGCATAGAAGCGCATACAACACTTTTTTTGCCCTTATCCCGTTCAAATGCGAGTTTATCGATTACCAGAGTGTTCTAAATTGTCGTAAAATTGTCCTGACTCTTTCGATTCTTATATCAGAGCCTTCGATAATTGTATACTGATCGAAATATGAGAGCTCGACGCCCATTTTGGTTCTGGTCTGGACTGAATTAAAATTTTTTTTGAAGAATCCAAAATTTGAATGTGTCAGGACAATTCTTAGATGATCAGGAGTGACGTGTCAAAGTTTCGGACAGTTTGGTCTAATACCCTTAAAAAAAAGTGTTGTATTCGAATCGACTGATTTGAAGGATGTTTCACTTCACCTTAAAAACGTATCTAATGTTTTTGAAAATTGATACCGTGTGAGGTTAGATTTTGAATGTGGGTATAAACAAGGGATTACAAAACGGGTGACGAAAGCGGTTTCGAACTGAACAACGTATTTGATGATTGCGGTTTGAATTTAAAAGGGAATCGAAATTTCAAATAATGCCCTGGAACTGTATAGCCTTGAAGTTTTGCAAAACGTTTTGCGAAATGAGATCACGTCCCTTCCTGTGGAGTTTGTATGTCCAGACGTGTGAAGACGTTATTAATGAGGTGCTGCTGGTCCAGATTGGGACGACAGCTGTTTGGCGACAATATGGAACGATGACGGAAACACTGACGGTTCAGTGAAGATAAACTGTTGATACCTAAGTAGGCCACTTAAAGTCTAAGTGGTTAACGTTACATCTAATCATATTCAACTTCGATGTGAAATTTTAAACATTAAAAATGTATACACCAGCAATAGAGCAATAAAAACTAATAAACTACGGTGAATTGTAATTTATTCTGCGGTAAATTTCAGTCTATAACAACTCCGTACCAGCAGTCGGTGTAAAAGAGTCTGAAAAAAATGCGAAGATGTTACCAACATCTGATATCCCAGAAATCTCACCGACATTACTGACTCTTAAATCGAAAACCTGCATTTCCATTTTCCAGACTATATTAATCATACTTGATTTATGATATTAAATGTTTACCTGATAATATATCGTTTGCACTCATCTGATTATAGAAGAATTCGACCTCCCTAGATAGCAGCGCCACTAGGTAGGAACTACCCCTCTGTATTCAGTGGCGGAAATCGAAACAAGGGATCCTCTCTAGATGAACGTAAATTCTAGGCCTGCGCACAAGGTCGTATTCTCGTCTCGTTCTGACCCGACGAGATATAACGTGCCGAAAAGAGATAAAGTGATAGCAAAGACAATAATGGAACCGAGACCCCGATTTCTGAGAAAAGAGAAATTCCCGAGGTTCGTAAGTGCCGCAAGTGTCGAAGATAACCTTGAAACTTTAACTGCTCCTCCCTCGTCGGGTTCCAAGCCAATTAAAATCGTTCCGGAGTGACAGAAGCACGCGCCGAGAATAGGTTAGGTTATGTAGTAAACGACTCGAGTCAGCCGTGAACGGATTCAACTGTTCGGCGCTTTTAAATCGCTTTGTTGGCAGGTGGCCCGTCAACAATGTGGGCACCACGGCAGACCTTGTTATCGTCGATAAGAGAGTTTTGGAGCCACTCTTGAACGAGTACGAGTGTACCTGAAAGACAGAGAAAAAGAAAGAAAAAGAAAACGGAAGGAGATTCGTTCGTCCATGACAATCACGGGATGATTTCATGACGACAGGGACACGGTGACACATAACGGGTAACAGGACTCGAAACAGGAAAACTCTGGTCGAAAGGAAGCTATGAAGGGTAAGTCAATGCTGTCACCTATTTTTCTAAGGAAGTAATTTCCATTTGTAATCCCCGATACGTCAGAAGTGTCCATCCTCAAGGTATTGTTAATTATTAATACTAGTTCCTCTGACCTTGCATTCAAGGACGGTTCCAGGAACATCGTATTTTCTATTGTGATTTATTTATGAATCCATGGCTATTCATTTCCAATGTAATCAAACGAATTTATCGGACTGTTTAATTTTAGTTGAATCGCTCTATTAAACTTTTTGTATAATTTTTACGGTTATATATTTTAATCGATAGCATTTTTTGAAACGTCGTTTGTCATCAGGATGATTCTATTACTTTCAGATAAGTTGTGATGAGTATTGGAGATTAACTCTTCTACACGATGGCAGCCGAAGTGTGTGCAGATGCGTTAGATGGGAGTTTATCTGACGATACTTTGGATAAAAACGTTACGGCACAAGATTCGGAGTACGATGATTTTTTGGGGGTACCAGATTCCTTGGAAATAACGATAAATGAAAATGGTGAGGCAGTCAGCCTTCAGCCTGATGGAGAAGATCATAACGATAATCATTGTACGTCTCGGTGTTACAAAATATGTTATCATTGACGATGTAGACTTTTTATTTATTTTCTTGATTATGTAGCTTGCCCAGGGATCGTCCCATTCACTGCCATTCACGCTCCAGCTGTAAAATTCAAAAGTCAAAACCGAAATGTGTTTATCCCTGGAGAACCTGTGCACGTGAGGATAATCGACAACGAACGCAGTGTCACGACACACCCTCTCAACCCAAATTTATATACACTGGAATTTAAACACGGTCCTTTTGTATGGACTGTCAAGAGGCGGTATAAACACATACAAAATCTGCACAATCAGCTAAAAATCTATCGAGCTAGTCTTAACATCCCATTCCCAACAAAGAGTCATCGGGATAGGAGAAATAGTTTAAAAAATTTAAGTACTGCCAATCAGAAGCGACGACAAAGAGGCGCGCTTCCAAGGTACATCGATTCTCCATTTTTGCTACTTTAATGAATGCATTTATCAAACAAATTCTAATTACCATTAATCTGTAGATTTCCGAATAGACCCGACGGTCTTGTCCCCTACGAGCAGTTGAACCACAGAATGCAAGCTCTGGAGGACTACTTAGACAATTTACTTAAAATAGAGATATACAAACGGCATCCTGAGACAGTAAATAATTTGCAGTAAAATTGTATCGTTATAAAAATGTTCATACAGAACAACTAATCAGTGCATGATTTTAGATAAATTTCATGGAAATTTCGCATTTATCGTTTATTGCTGATCTGGGTAACAAAGGCAAAGAAGGGATAGTACTGAAGCGAACAGGTTCTGGAGCGAAGGGTGGATGTAATTTCTTCGGGCTACTCGAAGGTATGTTCTGCGTAAGATGCAATTACTTTTGTACATCCCTCTGCGGCAAGTGGCACTCCAGACATCTCATCGTCAAGGACACCTTCGTGGCGTACATCAGGCCTCGAGATGGAAGAATAAAGTCCGTTATCTTAATGGATAATGGTTTTGAAGTCAGTTCCGGAATGTACTCCACGGGGCTGAGAAATGGATTACAAATAATGAATTTAAGTAGACACATCGTTATCAAATGTTGGACCAGGAGAAAAGCAAAGGAGTGGATGGAGTGCATCCAGACATTTAGTAATAATGAAGGTGAGTGACATAAATACAAATATTTTCTAGTGACAGGCGAGTATCGAAAGGAAGGCATCATCCAATCCATCGATCATTCTATTGTATGTTAATGGAAATGATTTTAAGGGAAGCCGTTCACCCAGGGAAATCCTCACAGATCCTTTGCACCGTATCGAGTCCCAACTCCAGCATCCTGGTTCGTCGATGGAGCAAATTACATGTCAGCCGTAGCAGATGCTCTAGAAAATGCTAAAGAAGAGATTTTCATTGCCGACTGGTGGCTTTCTCCAGAAATTTACATGAAGAGGCCAGTAACCGACAGCGATTACTGGAGGCTTGACAAGATCTTACAGCGAAAAGCAGTGAGTAAACAAATCAAGTTAAATCGTTCATAATCAGACCCTTTAATGTTAATGTTAAATTTTGCTTGGTTTGCTGCATATTGCAAAGGATGTTTCACAAGGTAAACCTGTAAACCTTGATAGATTACTCCGACAAATAACATATCCGATCTGAAGATATGTTATCGAGAAGCATAACGATTAATTTTAATCCAGATGGCTGGTGTCAAAGTGTTTGTAATGATCTACAAAGAAGTGGAGCTTGCTCTGGGTATAAATAGCTTTTACAGTAAGCAACAACTCGTGGAAAAGTGTCCGGAGAATATAAAAGTCTTGCGACATCCTGACCATGCTCGAGTGGGTGTTTTCCTTTGGGCCCATCATGAGAAAATCGTCGTGGTCGATCAGACAGTTGCATTTCTCGGTGGAATCGACTTATGTTATGGCCGGTGGGACAACAATGAACATAGATTAACGGATTTGGGTAAGCAGAAATAAATTGCGGCAATTCTGAGCGATATATACTTTATCCTTCTTATCGTTCGTCAGGCTCGGCTTATCAGTCCAGTATCTACATTCCATCGAAAGGAAAAATAACCAGCACAAGCAGTAAACGAACAAGGTTGGCTAAAGTTGAGAAAAATGTTTTCCTGCCACTGGCCATTGCAACGAATACAATCGCGATGGCAACTGCAAAATTCATGCCACAACTGTACGACCACTTTTTTTTTTTTGAAAACACATTTAACTGCACTTTAGCCTTGGGTTAAAGATGAAAAGTATCCACCATTACGAACGCTTCACAATTTTTAGGTCGATCATATGTAACAGTCCGGTGACGTCTCCATCGCTGCCAACGATAAATCCTGGAGATCCTTTGCTTATTTCACCACCACAGGATGCAGAAAATGTTAAATGCAATACGCCTGAGTCGCATAGAAAAAATCTATTAGACATGGCGAAGACTACCGTCGATAAGGTCAAACTTAATGTCAAGATGAAGAGGAAGGAATGGATAAGTATGGTGTACAACCCGAATGAAGGGAGCAGTGACGAAGAGGATGTAGTTGACAAGTAAGCTAGAAGTTTTGTGGAAGTTGGAGAAGTTGTCGAGTTATCGTTATATATGTCCGTTGAAATTATTTTTCTTAATTCAAGTGCCACCTTGCCGACCCCTCTGGGCGATGGGGAGGGCATGAAATTTAGCAATGCTGATGTAATTCCTAACCTTTCTGGGTCTGCTAAATTGTGGCTGGGCAAGGATTATACGAATTTTATAGTCAAAGATTTCGATAACCTTGAAAGTCCTTACCAAGACTTGGTCGATAGAAGAACAACTCCTCGGATGCCTTGGCACGACGTGGGGGTTATGGTGCAAGGTGCCAGTGCCAGGGATATTGCTCGGCATTTTATTCAGAGGTGGAATGCTATAAAGGTGACAAACACTAAGTTTCAAAAAAACTTCCCATTTTAGGGATCTTTCTGGAAGGTTCTAATTCCGAATTTCCTTGCCAAATTGGTCAGCGATAACACTAGCGACTCTTGCGGGAAAAATGTAACTTGATTATCCAATATGACGGCGCTTAAAATACAAGTTAAATGTCGTCGTGTTTCTTTATTAATATTTATAAGGTGTTAAACAAAACATGTTTCAGTGTTAATAAATGATTATTACGTAGATCTTTTTTGACCATTTATGAAAATTTAAAAATAACAAATTTTCTCGCAAGTGTCGCTGGTGTTACTGCTAGCTTATTTGACTGTGAAATGTGAGGTTGCTTTTATATAGAAATGGAACTCTTTATCTTATTTTGTGGTGTCAGAAGATACTACAAGTGAAAATAATCACGAAATAGTGCTTGGCTAACCAACCAACGTAACCTATACTGCTGGGCAATTTTTAAGCAAATCGAGGAATGTCCGTTTCAGCTGGAAAAGGCGAAACTGAATCCAACCTACCCATTCTTACTGCCAAAGTCCTACAAGAACTGCGAGAGTATTGCATCGCTTGCAAAAATCAGTGCCGAGCATAATGTCAGGTGTCAAGTTCTGAGGTCCGTCAGTTCTTGGTCGGCTGGATTTCTCGAACCCGATACCGTAGAGCAGAGCATACACGAAGCCTACATTCATGCGATCAGCAATGCCGAGAGGCAAGTTTTGGACCTTATTCGACGTAATATGAATTTTGTGGAAATGACTACCTTTATCAGTGAATTTAATATAATTTTGTTTACAGATATATTTACATCGAGAACCAGTTTTATATAACATTAGCTACTTTGGAGAGAACTACCGTTAAAAACCGAATCGGGGAAACATTATTGAAGAGGATATTGAGAGCACATAGGGAAGGCTCGATTTTTAGAGTTTTTGTCATAATGCCTTTGTTGCCAGGTTTCGAAGGGGAAGTAGGAGGTCCTACGGGAACTGCATTACATGCCATAACTCATTGGAATTATGCATCCATATCGAGGTAACTAAATTGGTCTTTTTCAAAGATGTTACTAATATCTTCAGATAAAAAATTGATGTGAACAGTTTTGAATAAAAACATTAAATATCATCAAAGGGGAAAAGACGCTATTCTGAATCAACTATTGGATGCTGGAATACAAGATCCCAGCGAGTACATTACATTCCATGGATTGAGAACGCACTCTTTATTGAATGGCACGATGATCACTGAATTAATTTATGTTCATAGTAAATTAATGATAGTTGATGATAAGACCGTAATCTGTGGATCGGCAAATATTAATGATCGAAGCATGATCGCCACTAGAGACAGCGAGATCGCGGTGATAATTCATGTAAGTCTGTAATTTGATGTCCCTCCTAAGAACTATTACATGTAATAAATTATTTTAGGATGAGGAATTCAAAGAGGGAAAGATGAACACTATGGACTTTCCTAGTGGAAAGTTTGCTGGCTCTCTGAGGAAACAATTGTTTCGTGAACATTTAGGACTGCTGCGGACTCATGAAAATATCGATATTAGCGACCCCATTAAAAAGTCATTTTATAGAGACGTATGGTGTGCAAGGAGTAAGCAAAACACCGAGATATTCGAAGAAGTATTCCGATGCATTCCTACCGATAAAGTGGTAAACTTTGCCATGTTGAAAATGTATCAAAATGAGGTACCGCTATGTTCTTCGGACCCAATTACAGCACAGAGAAAGTTGGTAAAGATTAAGGTATGTTTTGTAATCTCAGTTATTATGACCGGCTAGAGCTTAATTTTGGTAAATTTAATGAAATAAATTTCAGGGTCATCTTGTCGATTTGCCACTTAATTTCCTTTGCAACGAGACACTCAAACCAACTGCTGGCACAGTTGAGGGAATGATGCCGACGTCGCTGTGGACGTAGATAATTCAGTATTTAATTTGATATGCAAAGGTACTTGTTTTCAAGTCAAATGATGCAACCGATCGAATCATGTTTTTTAACTTGAAGTTTTACTTATTTTATATTATAATTCAGAGTGAAGATTAATAGTTTTTCTATGAATCTAGCGATAGGCACGCAACTTGACATATGCTAAGGATAATTTTAAGAATATTTCCACAATCTTGAAGGTTGTGGCTAAATTAATTGTACAAATTTATATAAGTATTAGCAATATCCGTTAATCTATATTAGAAACAGATAAGCTGAATTAATAATAGCTGTAGGAAAGCGAAACTGGACTGATCCATGGTCTAGTCTAACGATATTAGAAACGAATAGATACATCGACGCTAACAATTTGCACCTCGACATTCCTTGAAGTAACATTTAAGCATTCGCTGTTCGTTAAATAGTATTGGAAGTAACAAACGTTTCTTATCTGGCAGAAGAAGAGAATCACACTTAACAATCCCCGATATTTATAGCACCTTTAACCGAGCCTTCGCACAGTGGTTACACTTTTAACAACAGTTGCATTTTAATCCTTGCCGAGTGTTTTACTCTATTTATAATTTAAGTCTGAAGTGTTGCGTTTACAAGGAATGCCACTGTACAGGAAATCTTTTAACCTTAGACATTACCAAAATTGTACAAAAGATCGTCGATCTTTCACAGCCAGTATTGTAAGGAACAACCCTATGTCTACTATACCATTAATACAATTACAATATGCAATCACTGATAACCGTCTTCCCACCATCCAGAACACGTCACAATCCCAGAAAATGAATTCATCCCATCTATCCTGTCACCTTCATCGACGTCTTTTTCCAAGTTCTCGACCATTCAGCCACCATTTTGAAATTCAAACAATAGAAATTCGTAGAATAAGCCCCTTTCGTATCACCTTAAAGTTTCATATTCAGTTTGGAGAAAAAATTTGGTAAACACCTTGATGTTACATGTGTGCAGAACGACCATTTTGAATTTTCTAAGTATCCCGCGTCCGCTTCCCCCGAGATCGGGAGCCCTCGTGACTCCTCGGGCCCGGTCGGCCGACCGCGTCGCTCGACGGTGTCGCCCCCGCGGCCGACGGAGTTGCCCGAAGTCGGCGGCGGGTTCGCCCGTGGTCGGGCCGGCGCGGCGGCTGCGCCGAGCTTGGCCGAGCCCGGGCGAGCCTGGCCGAGCGCGCCCGAGCCGAGCCGAGGACGGCCGAGCTCCGGCTCGCCGCGGCGATCCCTGCGCCGGGTCGTCAGAGGCGACTGGCGAGCCGCGAGTCGCGAGTCGCGAGGCCAGCGCAAGGCCCTCCGCTAGTGGCAGCAGTGCGCGTCCGTCTACAAAATGGCAGACGGCCCGTCCGCCGAAGACGCGGCGCCCGCCGACGTCGGGGACGGCTGCCGCGGGTCCCGGGACCGCCACAAGCGCGACGCCGCCCAGATGCTGGCCGACGAGCTCGCCGACGCCGTCGCCTTCGCCACCGCGACGCCCGCGAGTGACAGTGCCGAGACGATGCGCTTCGGCGCCAAGAGTGACGACGACGAGGACGAGGACGAGTTCGAGGACGACGAGGACGAGGAGGAGGACGCCGAGGAGATGGCCGCCGGGGCGGGCCGCCGGCGCCCTGGGAAGGCGTCGGCCGCCGAGGGCGACGCCACCGGGACTCCGTCGAAGGCCCAGGTTAGGGCCAACGACGACGACCGCGCCGGGCCCTGCGGCAAGAAGCGCTGCGCCGATCGATACGACAGCTCCGAGAGCTCCGACAGGTAGTGTTTTTTTTAGATTATCAACGATTATCAATCCGAGGATATGACCGAGAACGCTGCGGCTCATTTAAAAACACCCAGGGAATTTTACGGAAATTTATGCCGTTACGAAAGCTTAACAATATCAGTGCGTTCACTGGGAATGAAAATCTCATCGAACCGAAGAGATATCTTTTTGAAATCGCACCTAAGCAGATATTTCGTAAATTCAAGGAATTTTAACTCGAATAAGTTCGAGTCAATTGGTGGCGACATTTCTTCGGAACGATGACAATTGATTTAAGTCGAATAATTACTCTTCGATTCGACGAACTGTTTCAGTGGAACTGCTATTAATGAATTATTCCCGTTTTTAATTTTTTTTTTCTCTCGGGGTGAAAATATTTATAATACTTTTCTACGAAAACACAATAAATTGTGATATAAATTCCCAGAATTATCGAATGAATTCTCGGTTCTCAGGAATATTACCCGGGTAATATAACGCACTGAAGACTCTACCTAGAATTCTTCTCCCAAGGCGGTCACATTTTGTTATTTATATACATGCATATGTATTTATACAGATATATATAAAGTAGTCGATGCATAAGTGGATATGGCCTTCGCACGTATAATGTACCTCGTATAATCTATGTTGTAATAGTAAGTATCGTCACTACAGGAGTCGAAGTTAAATAACTAGATGGAGGAGGTGGCGTCTCGGAGTTGCTTGGCACTTCCCTTAAGGTGAAGTGAAACACGTCGATTAACTTGATCAACGTCGATAAAGAAGATTTTTCTAAATGCCTACGTTGCCGACGTTCGTTTTTATATCGACAGCTATACCGAATTATATTGGGTATTGTACCAAATGGCATACTCCGCCTGTCGTTTTCGTACAATAATATCAAGAAATCGAAGTAAAACTCTAGAAATCCTCTGGATTCGTGCTTTCTGGGGCCCTAATTGACTGCAGAGGTACCCCCTGCGACATCTGTGATTTCCAGGTCAATTAAATTTTCACTCCGAGACCTCGTATTCCCATCGTTTTGGCATAGAAGCGTATACAACACTTTTTTTGCCCTTATCCCGTTCAAATGTGAGTTTATCGACTATCAAAGTGTTCTAAATTGTCGTAAAATTGTCCTGACCCTTTCGATTCTCATATCAGAGCCTTCGATAATTATATACTGATCGAAATATGAGAGATCGACGCCATTTTGGTTCTGGTCTGGGCTGAGTTAAAAAATTCTTTTGAAAAATCCAAATATTTCAATGTGTCGGGACAATTCTTAGATGATCAGGAGTGATGTGTCAAAGTTTCGGACAGTTTGGTCTAATACCCTTAAAAAAAAGTGTTGTATTCGAATCGACTGATTTGAAGGATGTTTCACTTCACCTTAAGGGGGGCGTGGAATCGTTTGAAATTTTATCGAGTGATTGCGGAGACCCTATGGAATACATGGTAACCGGAAGTGTGGCTTGATATGGAATTAATTTAAAATCAAATGGAAAAAGCAGGCCCTTTAAGGGGGTATGGCGTTAACCGGAAGTATGGTTAGAAATGGATTCAATTTAAAATGAAGTGAAAGGCAAGGCCTTTAAGGGGGTACGAATGTGGCGTCTTATGGGTCGTTTCAATCCTGGGATTTACAGCTGATCTCCACGTGATTCCTGCATGAACATCCGTAAATCCCTTTTTTTTTTTAATCGGTTGCCTTTTATTTCATACGATTAACAATGCGGTTTGGTAACAAGGGACGTTCGGCCTTAAAATGACAACGGTGTTTCGATGATTTCCAATAATTTTCACCGTTAAGATCCATGATAAGTTCCTTTAATTTCATACGATTAAACAATCCACTTCGGTAACAAGGGACCTTCGGTTTTACATTGTTATAGAGTTTCGATGATTTCCACGTGATCTCTGCATGAACATCCGTAATTCCCTTTTTTTTAGAATCGGTTGCCTTTTATTTCATACGATTAACAATGCAATTTGGTAACAAGGGACGTTCCGCCTTAAAATGACAACGGTGTTTCGATGATTTCCAATGATTTTCAGCAATTTCGAGAAATTACATGCTGATTTCCACATGATTTCGAACGTTAAAAGCCATGATACTCAGGGTGAGAATACCTCCTCGCTTGCACTGGCTTCGAGTGATAACGGGAAACCGCAAGGTTGATAAATTCGAAGGATAACCGGAGGGAAACCGGAAGACCGGCGCTGACTCGATCGGCGGATCGAAGTCGAATTAATCGTTTTCGATTAACACCCGGCACCCAGGGTCGACCTCGAACTTGAACTCGAGATAAAACCTCCACGTTGATATGCCGCCCGCGGATGTACTCGCAGAAAATGGCAAATTCGGTTCGACGAAGTCTGGTCCGCGACGACCCGATACGTCGGCTTATCACTCGTAGGGGGAATGTTTTCACGTCGATCGCCCCGTAAGGCGAATCCGGCGCGTTTCGGCCGCGTCCGTCGGCGCGGTGGACGATTTATTCGGCGATTATGTAACGAGATGGGAAGTCGGGGTTTCCCTTGAAATGGCGTAAAAGGGGACTCGAGTCGTATATTTTGGCGTGGATGTGGAGGGAAATTGGCGTAACCCGATCGCCGTGTCCGGGACAAAAGAAAGCCCGAAAATTTCTCCCCCTCCCTCTCTCTCTCTACCTCTCTCGGTACTCCCGGAATTACAGACGATGCTAATTTCGGAACTTGCCGGACGGGGAAATTCGGTGGAGTTTCGCGCCGAATAAATTTAATAGCCTCCGCGAACGGCACCAGATACTAAAGGTGAAGTGAAAACCCCCTTCAAATCAGTCGATTCGAATGCAACACTTTTTTTTTTTTTTTTTTTGAGGGCATTCGACCAAACTGTCCGAAACTTTCACGCATGACTCGTGGTCGTCTAAGAATTGTCCCGATATATTCGAAATTTGGATTTTTGAAAAAAAACATTCTTTAACTGAGCCCAGACCAGAACCAAAACTAACGGCCGTTATTTGTTTTTGTATTCTCTATTTTCGGGCGATTTATATATAAGGACGACGACTCCGTTTTTCGAGGGAGACAAAATGGCGGCGCGCAAAGCGGGGACGCGTTTGTTTTACATTAAAAAACATGGTTGCTCCACCGCGATTGCAAGAAATCATGATTTAAGGTGATCCTCAGACGACTACTTATAATTAACGCTCGTTATTTGTTCTTGTATCCTCTATTTTCGGGCGTTTTATATGTAAGAAGGACGACGACTCGGTTTTTCGAGGGAGACAAAATGGCGGCGCGCGAAGCGGGGACTTGCGTTTGTTTTACATTAAAAAACATGGTTGCTCCACCGCGATTGCAAGAAATCATGATTTAAGGTGATCCTCAGACGACTACTTACAATTAACGCCCGTTATTTGTTCTTGTATTCTCTATTTTCGGGTGTTTTATATATAAGAAGGACGGCGATTCGGTTTTTCGAGGGAGTCAAAATGGCGGCGCGCGAAGCGGGGACTTGCGTTTGTTTAACGGGCGTTAAAAACGAGACTCGTTTCGCCGGGTTCTCGGATCTCGCACTCGAGAAAGGTACGAAGATAATCGTAAATGCTTCACACCTGACGTGGTTCGGTCCCGAGTTGGACCTAAGTCCCCATGGAGAATTTACAACGCTCACGAAGACCACGAGGAAAGAGCGACCCCGTACTCGGATTTGCGCAATTTCGAGATAATTGCAGTTTCGCAACCGAGGGTGCACTCGGTAATTCCAGCGGTTCATTTGGAATGTCTTAGATTGGTATTTCAATTAACGAGTCGTTACGCGTGCAAGTGAAGTAAGATCGGGCAGCGTTAAGGAATGAAAAGTTGAAAGTAATCGGTCGTTTATCGGTTATCGGAAGTTCTTCACAAATACGAGGTATCCGAATTGATTTGTCGACGGGTATCGTCAGTTATTAATTTCAAACCGTTTAATCTCGGTTTAGTAAATCCCGTCTCGCCGAGTTT